CGGCCCGCCGAGCCTAAGCCGCATCTTTAGGGCCGTATCCTATACTAAGCGGTGCTCAGGGTTGTGAACGAATGTTCCTATGCTAATGTACCTTGGAAGTTGTGGTGATACTATCACCACAACTATCACTATCACCGTGATAGTATTCGGACTTTTTTGAGTGGGATCGCCTCAAGCCTTCAGCTCACTACAGCAGTGATAGGCAGGTCCTATCCAATATCAACTCGAGCAAATTCTATCAAATGCTCTGACATACGACGTTGCAACTAGAAAAAAAATCTTGAAAATAGTCGAGACTCGGGTTCGAACCTGGGCAGACGATCTGCGCATGCGTGCTAGCTTTATGGAGCTGTTTTGCTTCTTGAAGCTTTTCACTACTTTTCAGAGTTTTGCTGAACTGCAATGGTCTCTCTAGGCTCCAATTAGTTTTACTCGCTGGACTGTTAACTATACCATACTTGATGGGGTATGTTCAACTGAGAAGGTATTTTCCTCCTTCCTTGACTATTCATTGCATCAAGAATGCACACCTTATAAATGTTTCGCATCTCTCAAGTGTTGCCTTAAGTTATTCGCTGAGCTCATCCATGACGACCGTAGACAACCGCTTGCCCATTCTTCCTCATTGCACATTTGAATGTTCGTTGTAGTACTCAAGTGTATGTCACCCTGGTTTTGGGAACATGCTCAAGAAGGCCTTTACCGGTATCATCCCTACTTCCGCTGAGGTTGTGTGAGGCTTGAGAATAAGGTATCCTCGGCTTGATGCGCTCATAGTCTCTTAGCAATTTGCTGATATACAAGGCGTACTGTAAAACGTTACCGGGACGGGCTCTGTTCTTCACCTGAGCATCGGCTATTCAATGAAAAGCTAACGAACAGACGTTTTCGTGTTATCTTCTGACACAACTAATCTGATATAGTGTTGGAAACTCATTTTTCGAGACAGAATCGTTTAATGACCGTGGTCGTGGCAGGAAGAAGCACAGTGGGAGCGAATACACAGCGCTGCGAAGCGAGGACGGTATTCGCACTGAGCACTCACTACGTCAAGTATAAGCGGAGTCCGAATGTATTCACTTCAACATATGATTCAACTACCCCTTACTCAGATGGGAAATACGCTGGGCAAGACTTTACGAAAGTACAATGTGAGCCAGGGGCCAAGACATGCAGTAGCTGGGCTACACCTTCGGCTGAGGCACTGTTTCCGGGTTGAGCACCATGTGCGCAACACGTAGCCTGTTTTCCTGAGTATTTCGACAACAATCGCTTGCTTCTGGTCACCGACAAACTCGGTAACTTTTTCTGGAAACCTCAAGAGCTTTGTGGAACGAGTTTTGAGAAATGCCAACTCGAAGAAGGGTTGAAATACAAGGCGTACTGTAAAACGTTACCGGGACGAGGTCTGTTCTTCACCTGAGCATCGGCTATTCAATGAAAAGCTAACGAACAGACGTTTTCGTGTTATCTTCTGACACAACTAATCTGTTATAGTGTTGGAAACTCATTTTTCGAGACAGATTCGTTTAATGACCGTGGTCGTGGCAGGAAGAAGCACAGTGGGAGCGAATACACAGCGCTGCGAAGCGAGGACGGTATTCGCACTGAGCACTCACTACATCAAGTATAAGCGGAGTCCGAATGTATTCACTTCAACATATGATTCAACTACCCCTTACTCAGATGGGAAATACGCTGGGCAAGACTTTACGAAAGTACAATGTGAGCCAGGGGCCAAGACATGCAGTAGCTGGGCTACACCTTCGGCTGAGGCACTGTTTCCGGGTTGAGCACCATGTGCGCAACACGTAGTCTGTCTTGCTGAGTATTTCGACAACAATCGCTCGCTTCTGGTCACCGACAAACTCGGTAACTTTTTCTTGAAACCGCAGGAGCTTTGTGGAACGAGTTTTGAGAAATGCCAACTCGAAGAAGGGTTGAAATACAAGGCGTGCCGTAAAACGTTACCGGGACGAGGTCTGTTCTTCACCTGAGCATCGGCTATTCAATGAAAAGCTAACGAACAGACGTTTTCGTGTTATCTTCTGACACAACTAATCTGTTATAGTGTTGGAAACTCATTTTTCGAGACAGATTCGTTTAATGACCGTGGTCGTGGCAGGAAGAAGCACAGTGGGAGCGAATACACAGCGCTGCGAAGCGAGGACGGTATTCGCACTGAGCACTCACTACGTCAAGTATAAGCGGAGTCCGAATGTATTCACTTCAACATATGATTCAACTACCCCTTACTCAGATGGGAAATACGCTGGGCAAGACTTTACGAAAGTACAATGTGAGCCAGGGGCCAAGACATGCAGTAGCTGGGCTACACCTTCGGCTGAGGCACTGTTTCCGGGTTGAGCACCATGTGCGCAACACGTAGCCTGTTTTCCTGAGTATTTCGACAACAATCGCTCGCTTCTGGTCACCGACAAACTCGGTAACTTTTTCTTGAAACCGCAGGAGCTTTGTGGAACGAGTTTTGAGAAATGCCAACTCGAAGAAGGTTGAAATACAAGGCGTGCTGTAAAACGTTACCGGGACGAGGTCTGTTCTTCACCTGAGCATCGGCTATTCAATGAAAAGCTAACGAACAGACGAACGTTGGTACCAACAGTTGGTACCGTCAGCGCAACACCGATGCCGCGATGCCGCGATGGCGAGATCCTGGTTCGATCCGCGGTATCGGCGGTTTTCCGAAATAAAATTACCGCGCGCCACGAAATTCCAAGACACGCATCCTGACGTGCTGAGGGTAGTCACACATATACATAGGGTTAGCTTCATAGTTTCTGAGTGAATCACCTTCCACGCCTTCTCTGGTTAGGTGAGGGTGAAAGCGGGCCGGAGGTCCCCGCGTATAACCTTCTTAATCATTCCCCTAGCGGTTTGACTGCGTTCGACCCGTAAACTGCCCACGTCGGGGCCGCTTGGCTCGAACCCAGATCTTTGATCAACTCGTACGGTAGGGCGTGTGTCCGAGAACACATTGTTTGGGCCTGGCGGGCCGGAGGCCCGCCTCCTCTCTTAAAAATAACATTCCTTTATCGAGTGCCTCCGTCGGGACCGGAAAGTGCCTCCACCGGGACCCGGTAGCCGGCTCGCCCGTGGATGTTCTATCCCTGGGCCAAGCATTTTTGCTGCATATTCGTGACTGCGCATTATAGCGAAACATGGGCCATCGCAGCGATGGTTTAAATGAGCTGACTCCAATCCTAGGAAGGTCCACCCTGATAAGACATATTTGGCAGGTGCTGCTCTAGGCATTGGAATCGGTTACAGGATGTTCTGTTTTTCTAATCGGATCCTTAAAGTACCATTTCACCCAGTCGGACTGGGACACTCCTAGCTATGTCCTCCCTTTTCGAATCTTGTGATTTGGCTCCTCCGGATCCTATTCTTGGCACTGCCACCGCCTACAAGGCTGACCCTTCCTCAAACAAGGTTAATCTCGGTATTGGTGCTTATCGTGATGAGTATGGCAACCCTAAGGTGCTCGATGTTGTTCGTAAGGTCGATCAGCAGTTAGCTGCTGATATGAAGGTCGATAAGGAGTATGCTCCCATTGATGGGTTCCCGGCTCTCAAGCCTCTCAGTCAACGACTCCTCTTCGGCGAGTCCAGTGATAGGATTGCTAGCAGTCAAGCTATATCTGGTACTGGTGCACTCCGCCTTATTGGAGATTTCATTGCGAAGTTTTTGAACAAGCCCATTATTTATATTTCGGATCCTACGTGGGGTAACCATCTGAAGGTGTTCGGTGCTCCTGGTTCAGGCCTAGAGATTAGAAGATACCCTTATTGGGACACTGAGAACCGTTGCTTGGACTTCAGTGGGTGCATGGACTGTCTATCTGAGGCTCCTGCTGGATCTGTTATCCTTCTTCATGCCGTCGCTCACAATCCCACTGGTATGGATTTCACTCATGAGGAGTGGCAGGAAGTTCAGAAGCTCCTTCAAGAGAGGCATCTTATTCCTCTTCTTGATTGTGCTTATCAGGGATATGCTTCTGGTGATTTGGATAGAGATGCTTATGCTCTTCGCCTATTCTATCAGTCCGGTATGGAGTTCTTTGTAGCCCAGAGTTTCGCCAAGAACTTTGGTCTTTATGGTGAGCGTGCTGGTATGTGCCACTTCGTGACCAAGAGTGCTGACTTGGCTGCTCGTGCTCTTAGTCAGCTCAAGCTCATCATTCGTCCCATGTATTCTTCTCCTCCGATTCATGGTGGTTTAATTGTTAAGACTATTCTTGAGAACCCCGCCTATGAGAAGGAGTGGAGAGATGAGTTGACTGCTATCAGTGGAAGGATTGGTGAGATGCGTATTCTTCTGTCTGATGGGTTGACCGCCAAGGGTACTCCTGGTACTTGGGGACATATCAAGAAGCAGATTGGTATGTTCTCCTTCACTGGTCTCACTGTTGCTCAGTCTGAGCGTATGATTAACAAGCATCATGTCTATATGCTCAAGAATGGTCGTATCTCTATGGCTGGCTTGAACAAGCACAATATTCAGTACGTTATCGATGCTATGGATGAGTGTGTGCGTAATGCGTAATAAGTTATCTTCCAAAATGGGTTATGGTGAGCATTATCACATCATTTATTGCAGATGATTTTGATTGAGTTCAGACTCCTCAGTAGGACGATCCGTAGCGCTTCGATTCTTTTACTAAGGATAATGTTGTTGTGTATAGTTTCGATGGGTCTCGCGTTATTAGGTCCCCTCGCTCGTGAACAGTGTTCACTAGACGATGTGGGGAGTAAAGGTGACATTGTACTGGGATCATTAACATTGTCAAGGTGAGTTGCATGGATTGGTACGGGAGTTATTGAGTCTGATATCAGTCTATCTGGCCAGGCACATTTTCGTTTGATGAATGAGATATATTATGTTGTACTCTCAGAATTTGTGGATGTATACATAGCTTTGTGAGGGTGAATTTGTGGTCGGCAGGGTTTTTGGACACGCTTCATATAGATGAAGTTCTCTATAGAAGCTTTGTTGCTACACCAACCTCGATCATCTTTTATCGACTGCATAAGGAATGTTGTGGATAATAGAATGGAATCCATCATACTCCTCAGCTAGATTCTAAGCTTGAAACTGTGTGACTACTAGCTAAGCTTCACTAGCATTTGCGCTTCTTATCGCTAAAGGCATGTCTGCTTTTATTCAGTGATTCATAGTAAGCATTGTTCTTGGAAAATGAGTTGTTCATTGACGAGTTATCTATCTACTTAGTTTTCAAGTTTTATCGCAGAATGAGTTCAATCTTCGAATCGTGTGATCTTGCTCCTCCGGATCCTATTCTTGGTACTACTGTCGCCTACAAGGCCGATCCTTTCCCGAAGAAGGTCAACCTCGGTGTCGGTGCCTACCGTGATGAGAATGGCAACCCTAAGGTGCTCGATGTTGTTCGTAAGGTCGATCAGCAGTTAGCTGCTGATATGAAGGTCGATAAGGAGTATGCTCCCATTGATGGGTTCCCGGCTCTCAAGCCTCTCAGTCAACGACTCCTCTTCGGCGAGTCCAGTGATAGGATTGCTAGCAGTCAAGCTATATCTGGTACTGGTGCACTCCGCCTTATTGGAGATTTCATTGCGAAGTTTTTGAACAAGCCCATTATTTATATTTCGGATCCTACGTGGGGTAACCATCTGAAGGTGTTCGGTGCTCCTGGTTCAGGCCTAGAGATTAGAAGATACCCTTATTGGGACACTGAGAACCGTTGCTTGGACTTCAGTGGGTGCATGGACTGTCTATCTGAGGCTCCTGCTGGATCTGTTATCCTTCTTCATGCCGTCGCTCACAATCCCACTGGTATGGATTTCACTCATGAGGAGTGGCAGGAAGTTCAGAAGCTCCTTCAAGAGAGGCATCTTATTCCTCTTCTTGATTGTGCTTATCAGGGATATGCTTCTGGTGATTTGGATAGAGATGCTTATGCTCTTCGCCTATTCTATCAGTCCGGTATGGAGTTCTTTGTAGCCCAGAGTTTCGCCAAGAACTTTGGTCTTTATGGTGAGCGTGCTGGTATGTGCCACTTCGTGACCAAGAGTGCTGACTTGGCTGCTCGTGCTCTTAGTCAGCTCAAGCTCATCATTCGTCCCATGTATTCTTCTCCTCCGATTCATGGTGGTTTAATTGTTAAGACTATTCTTGAGAACCCCGCCTATGAGAAGGAGTGGAGAGATGAGTTGACTGCTATCAGTGGAAGGATTGGTGAGATGCGTATTCTTCTGTCTGATGGGTTGACCGCCAAGGGTACTCCTGGTACTTGGGGACATATCAAGAAGCAGATTGGTATGTTCTCCTTCACTGGTCTCACTGTTGCTCAGTCTGAGCGTATGATTAACAAGCATCATGTCTATATGCTCAAGAATGGCCGTATCTCTATGGCCGGCTTAAACAAGCACAATATTCAGTACGTTATCGATGCTATGGATGAGTGTGTGCGTAATGCGTAATTGTCTATGTGTGGATTGGTATTCTTCGATACCGAATGATAAGCTCAGACTTTTATCAACTGAATATGCGTTAGTGTTGCTTACTTAGGAGCAAGCACTGTTTACATCGTTTTTCAAGTTGATTAATGTTGAGTTCGTTAATATAAACAGTCTGTGAGGAATCGGTATTTGATTGCTCCTTGTCAAAGAAACTTCGCAACGGCGTCGAGTGGTACAATCTGCGTGACCTTCTCTCACTGAGTTGATGGAGATAGTCGATCTTATTACCGATGATTCGTTGGGCGCATCTATTTTCTACAGTCGAGGAGAGTGGACACGACAGCAACAATTCTCACGGGGATGAAGATCGTGGTGGTTTTGTCGTCGATGAAGAGGTAAGATCAAAGTAGTACCGTAGCCTCAAGCAAGCGATGATATATCGTACGTGAAGCCGAGAGCCGAGTGGAACGCCTGACGGCACGGCTTGGCATACGGGTGGTTCTCGGATATATCTAATCCAAGAGCATCTCGATCGCTCCTCTTACAATCTTACTTTTGGTCTCTTCACCAAGTTGCGAAGGATGTCGTTATGTAATAACTCATATCAAATCACACATTCGTGTAAAGGATATATAAAGGCCGGCGAAGGTCAGTGGGATCATGTATGATCCTGAGTACTGGATATCGTATTGGTTGTGCGGTAAGTCGTCAATCCCGAGATTCAACAACTCCCTTCCACAGATGCAAATACATCTTCAGCTCATAGTACTAGGTTGAGGGTAGCAGGGCTACCTTGCATGACTGTTCAGTACTAGGGGCGACCCCTAGTGATTCGGTGGATGATCGTTGAATGATTAAGGAGACCCCTAAGGAGTCTCTTTAATCATTCCACGTGCTGGAGCTGAGGAGTTATGCTGGCTGCTTTCGAAGAGGCATATCATGCATAAGGTTATCTATTCCAATCGTCGTCGTCGTCATGGATGATAATGTGTCCCCTCATCAGTTCCCTCAAGCTCGCTGTTATGTCGATCATGCATGTCTGGGGATCAGGGTGAGCTTACTAATATGTCACAGGCCAGTGTCTTGATTTCTACAGGTTATTTTCATAACATAATCGAAGAGGCTGATCTGGCTATCATCGATTGAGAATGAGACTTTTGGCCTTGGCATTGAGTACAAAAGCCTTCGGCTTCATGCTACCACGGCTATTGAACTAGATGAGATTCGGATGCCCCCACGAATGGTATCTCTTATTCCGGTGGGGAGATTCCCGAACCCTGTCTGTATGTACAGTTGAAAGCTCCAACTTGGAGCCGAAAGTATCCGAGGATGATGATGACGAGGTAGAGGACGCGCCAGAGGTGATCGGACAAAATAATACATCCTTCAACATCTCGATGGGTTTGGGATACGGGTTGTGCTGTCAGACCCGTCTCGTACCGAGCAATCCAGAGGATACACTCACACAGATGTTCGATGCGCTGAATGAGATGCAGACCCCGATGATCATTAGGCTCCGACTGATGTGAGTGAATATGATGAGTCGTGTGATGCTATCCTTCATATGAGTTACTCTCAGGTGGACTTACTTTTGCTCCTGGGTTCACCCTCGTTACTGATAGAGCGAACTGTCATTGGGATAGTAATTCAGGGCCATGTAGCGGAAGAAATGGGCAAATCGGATGGATGGGTTCCTCTCCTCATTTCACATGATTCATGTGACATGAACGATGATGGGGACTTGTTGTGTTGTCGATGTCTCTGAGTCAATGCAATGACATCATGGTACAATAGCTGGAGTATCAGCATCCAGACAACATATGTCAATCTGTCATCTTATACCAATACAATCAGAGAAATGACTATCGTGGTTCGATCACATCCAATACAATCAATCTATCACCACAACCAGTATGTGGGTGTGGTTCCGTCATTGCATTGAGAATGTGGCCGTGAATTTCAATGATAAAGATTATAGGACTCGATTTCATTATTCCCTAATATCTTCTTGGAGACCAATGCAAGGGTTTGGTGGTGCCAAGTCTGGTGGAGCGAATGACCCATTGAAGGTCGGTGTAGATGATGTAGATAGAGATCTGGAGGAGGCTGATGGTAAGGCTGTGGGCTTCTAACATATACTAAGCTCGCGGGATACTAGACATACATAGCTGTCTTACTACGCCTGCAGCTTATTCAGATAATGATACTGCCAAGAGCCTAGAGGCATTCGTAGACGGTAAACTGATGACTGTTGTGATGACCTTGCTTACTATATTTGCACTATGGGGTGATAATATGCGTGTGGCTTTCTTCGACAAGGATGCTGACAATGTATTCTATGTGTTATTCGTAAGGATCTAGTGAGGCTTCGTCGTTGTCTTGAATTCATTTGTCATCTTAGGCATTCGCACTCTTCATGTTCTTTCTTGAATTCTTTATTAACACAGTTGCCAAACCAGAGTACAAGTGGGGATTCTTTTTTGTACGTGACAATCCCTCATCACTCGAACTAAGGAGGAAGTCTCGAGGTTCTCGATCTAATTTCGGCTGTATCAATCATACCTGATATTCCCTGGATAATGAGCGCACTTGCGTATATCATGAATGGTACATCTGAGGGAGTAGGAACATCTTCCACTGGAGGATTGGACAAGGCACGTGAGTTTCTCGTTAGAGAGGCTGTGGATCCTGTCATAACCATTTACTCAGGCACTGCTCGTATTGTACGTCTGGTGCGGCTTATACGGCTTATCCGAATTGTCAAACTGTAAGAGAGCCACAAACGTGCAATCTGTGGATGAATACTGCTATGATCAAGTCCCGATAGGTATAGCATGGTGTCTAAAGCGCAGGATGCCGATCAAGAGGAGAAACTAAAAGCTCAGGCGAGGGCTGCGCAGAACGCTAAACAAGTGTTCATGAATTTGAGGTTGTGTGCTCCGAGATCTAGTAGATTGTAGGCCGCGCTGAAGCGCATAGAAGCATCAAGACTGGGCAGAGCACTTTCTGAGCTGACAACTCGCAGGGTTATTGTTGGTGTCCTCCTTATGTTGTTCATCATGCCACTTCTACAGAATTCAGAGACAAGTACTCAGGTTGTCATCAACGTGGTGCCTTGGAGTCACGGCGGTGCAGAACTCAATTTCAGATGAGGCCTTTTACACTGGCCTATCCCAGCTCTATTGGTTCGGTCGTAGTCGATGCGATACTGCATCAGAGAATGCATCTTTCGGCTGTGATGGGCAGGTTGGGGTACTGAATGATCGTATGACTATCATTCTATCCATAACAGATACAGAAGGCTGGATCGTCTTGGATAGAAGAGGATGGATGGAAGAACATGTTATGGATATATTCCAGATCAGGATTCAGAGCCAAATATTATCCCACTGATGAGGGGTAGATGTCTGTGCACTACGGCGACCGTGATTGACTCTTCTCGTCTCTCTATGAGCAGTTATTGGAATGGAGATCCTCCTTATAAGTTACTCTGGCTCAGGGTACCAGACTATCTTAATGATGGAAGGCTGAGAGATGTGAGGCCGACGAACAACTTCAATCTGAGGGCCTATGTTATTCTGACTTCGAGGTCTTATCTATCGACTCGGAACTTGGTACGTGGAATCAGACGAAAAGCTGTGCAGGGGTTCAACTGCCATCTGATTGCCCGTATCGACATGAAGAGATTTCTACATACAGCTACAGCCCTATTGAATGTAGATTCCCATCCTCATCATCATCGGACTATTCAAGCTGAACATGATTATGTTAGGTTCATCTGATCATGACTCGGTCATGCTTGCTGAAACTCCCGGATGCGACAAAGCTATAGCCTATGCTCGATTCGAGACAAAGTCTCTTCAACAGACATCGAACGCGTTGGATATGATATCCACACTTTTTGTCTGTATCCTATTAGGTAGTGCAGCCCGGACATAGCTATACCATCACTATAGTTTATAGAGCTCAGTCTATGCTCGATAATATTATCACTCCTGTATCGATGGAAGCCTTTCGTGGATTCCCATGAGGGAACGTCCGTACGGAAGGCGCCCGGAACCTTCCTACTCCCATTTCTTCGAAATGATGATGTTGTCCACATTTGGAGTCGGGATTATGTAACACGATTCGTTTTCGTCAGGTACATTGAGTATACAGTTCCAGAACGACACACAGAAATTGGTCATCGGCCCAATTGAGAAAATGGTCAACATAATCAAGCAGTTGGCTGAGGATCCTCTCCGTAAACGTGAAGTAAGATAACACTGGGTTCATCTCTGCTCTGGTGGCAAGTATTCAGGTTCAGGATACTGAAGTCCATCACCCATCCGGTAACCAACCCCAGCATTGAATCATGTATACTTGATTGAGCATGTCTTAGTATAGATAAGATGGAGCAGCAGTCTCTAAGCATGTCGCCTCACTTTGAGGAGGATGATACTTCCGCTGGACCTCAACTCGAGACTAGGATGTTGGAGAATACTATCTTGAAGATTGGCATGCTTCTGCAGGTTGGGCTGGACTTTGAAGAGTGTCGATCGACAACCCATCTGTTAACTTTGCAGGTGGGGTTCGGTACAGCCGGTGCGGAAATAGTGGGCAATAGTATGAAACGTGGGGATGGTGAACTGAATATCATGATGCCAGGACGATGTATATTAGGTAGGCTTACATATGGTATGAATCGGTAGATCTTGGAGATTGACATCTGTAGGTATATTTGCATATGTGGGTATCAATCGGCTGGCATCCCTCGCCGACAGTTATGGTCAGGACGTAACTGTTCTGGTCAACAAGGTTGCTAAGATCATCCATGGTTGTGCTAAGCATTGGTATGTTACATTTGGGTCTGGCTCGTGATAGATCTATTTGATTGGATCTGGCACAATCTACACCAAAGACGATTCATTATGCACCTCTCAGGGGTGGCGTTCCTAATCAGAATATCGATAACGGCTTCTTTCTCGTATGGAAGCTAGATAATCAGTACGATCCTCAATCCAGCAAGGTGGACCTCAAGAACGTGAGTCTCCGACTGATACACTCGCTGCTCTTCTTATGCCACAGGAGGTGCTTCTCAAGCGATCCAAGATGGCAGACAAGGCATTCTTCTGTGGTCTGAAAATGTTATCTCAACTTGAACGATTCTCCAGCCGTAGGAGTGGTGCCACTGAGGTGAGAGTCGTTTAGTCACTCATCCCAATTTCGCCTACACTGTCAGGGAGAGGATGCCCCGCTTCCTGCAAAGAGTCAACATTCCACGGCAACGGTGGGGTCTTGGACCGATTATGTTGCTTATTCAACTACATTGGCTAAGTGCCTTACGTTAGGTTGACCTTAGTATTGCAATCCATATGGGATGGGCGGTCGAAGGTCCCATTGGGAGTGACTTCAAAATTGATGCCA